TAGTAGAGACGGGGTTTCACCATGTTGACCAGGATGGTCTCGATCTCTTGACCTCGTGATCCACCCGCCTCGGCCTCCCAAAGTGCTGGGATTACAGGTTTGAGCCACTGCACCGGGCCTGAAAGTTTTTTTCTTTAAGGATGTTGAATATTGACCCCCACCCTCTTCTGGCTTGTAGGGTTTCTGCTGAGAGATCTGCTGTGAGTCTGATGGGCTTCCCTTTGTGGGTAACCCAACCCTTCTGTCTGGCTGCCCTTAGTATTTTCTCCTTCATTTAAACCCCAGTGAATCTGACAATTATGTGCCTTGGGGTTGCTCTTCTTGAGGATTATCTTTGTGGAATATCTCTGTATTTCCTGGACTTGAATATTGGCCTGCCTTGCTAGGTTATGGAAGTTCTCCTGGATAATATCCTGAAGAGTATATTCCAGCTTGGATTCATTCTCTCCGTCAAATTCAGGTACACCTAGCAAACATAGATTAGGTCTTTTCACATAGTCCCATATTTCTTGGAGACGTCGTTCATTCCTTTTTACCCTTTTTTCTCTAATCTTGCCTTCTCATTTTATTTAATTGAGTTGATCTTGATCTCTGATATCCTTTGTTCTGCTTGGTCAGTTTGGCTGTTGAAACTTGTGTATGCTTCACGAAGTTCTCGTGTTGCGTTTTTCAGTTCCGTCAATTCACTTATATTCCTCTCTAAGTTATTTATTCTCATTAGCATTTCGTCAAATCTATTTTCAACGTTCTTGGTTTCTTTGCATTGGGTTAGAACATGTTCTTTTAGCTCACAGAAGTTTCTTATTACCCACCTTCTGAAGCCTGTTTCTGTCAATTCATCACACTCATTCTCCATCCTGCCATGTTCCCTTGCTGGTGAGGAGTTGTGATCCCTTGTAGGAGGAGAGGTGTTCTGGTTTCAGGTGTTTTCATCCTTTTTGCACTGGTTTCTTCTCATCTTTGTGGATTTATCCACCTTTCGTCTTTATAGTTGTTGACTTTCAGATTGGGTCTCTGAGTGGTTGTCCCGTTTGTTGATGATAAAGTTATTTCTTTCTGTTTGTTTTCCTTCTAACAGTCTGGCCCCTCTGCTGTAGGGCTGCTGAGGTCCACTCCAGGCCCTGCTTGCCTGGGGATCATCTGCAGCGGCTGCAGAACAGTAAGGGTTGCTGCCAGTTTCTTCTTTTGCTATCTTTGTCCCTGTAGGATACCCACCAAATGTCAGTCTGAGCTCTCCTCTATGAGGTGACTTATTTGGATATACAGGGGTCAGGGAGCTGCTTGAGGAGACAGTCTGTCCTTTATAGGAGCTCAAGTGCTGAGCTGTGAGCTCCATTGTTCATTCAGAGCTGCTGGGCAGGTATGTTTAAGTCTGCTGTAGCAGAACTCATAAACCCCTCCTTTTTTTTTCCCCAGGAAAGCTCTTTCCTGGGGAGTTAGGGCTTTATTTATGAGTTCCTGTTGTGCTGCTGGCTTTTTTCAGGGCTGCCCATCCTAGTGAGGAGGCAGCCTAGTCACTGTCTGCCTGCAGAGGCTTTGCTGAGCTGCTCTGGGCTCTGTTCAGCTGCCATGTGAACTTCCCTGCAGTCCTGCTTATACGGGTATAGTTAGAACTGCCTCGGCAATGGCGGGCCACCTCTATAATGGCGGACTCTCTCTGTAATGACGGACTACCTCAGCTAAGGTGGACTGCCTCAGCAATGGCAAACTACCTACATAGTGGTGGACTGCCTCGGTAATGGCGGATGCCCCTCCAACACACAACTGGACTGTCCCAGGTTCAGCTGTGCTTGCTGTGAAACCCTCAATCCAGAGCGTTTCCAATTGCTGTTTTTTTGTGGGGTGAGACTAGCCAAGCCTGATCACCTGGCTCCCTGCCTCAGAGCCTTTTTTTTTTTTTATTTGAATGGTTGACTCTCTCCCAGGTGTTCCAGTCGCCTGTTGAAAAAGCATCAGGATCTGTGTGATTTCCTGTGCGTCGACCCACTGTGCCGACTGAAACAGTTGCACTGAGATTCGTGTTGCTTTTTTGCCTGGGAATCTCCTGGCCTGGCTCCCTGTTTCAGTCCCTTTTTTAATCAGATGAATGGGCAACTCTGCCTTCCCGGAGCTTCAATCGCCGGCTAAGACGGTGCCCAGACCAGTGTATTTTGTATGGAGAACCGCTGCACCTGGGCACTGGCAAAAACAGCTGTGCTGACTGAAACAGCCACGCTGGCAACCTGTGGGGCTTCTCCACATGAGAATCACCTGGTCTGTGGGCAATAAAAATATTTCTGGAAATGTGGTGTCCACTCACCCTCTGGGCTTTCGCTGGGAGCTGCAATCCTGAGCTCTCCTAATCGGCCATCTTGGATCCCTCCCCCTGTCTATTCTTTAATCTACTCAAACCCAGCTCTTCTCTCACCACTTCACTGGAAACTTTACTCTGATAGGACATGCATAATCTATTAATGGCTAAATTAAGTGGCCTTTGATAGTTTCCAGTTTTCCTGAAATGGTCTCTTTTTCCATTTCCCAGTCCTGCCTTATTCATAGCAAATACCAGTAGTTTCCTAAATCTGAAGCCCAAAAGCTTCAGATCATCTCCATCTGCTCTGCTGTCCATAGGAAATCTCATACTGAGTCTGGGTAGATGCCACCCTTCTTGACTCTGCCCATTGCTTTTGTTTATTATACCTTCCTATTTAGATTTTAACATTTAATAAGTGGACCTTTGTAAGTATCTCCTGTCCTTCTCAGACTTTCTCTTGATACCACTATTTTAACCATCCCTCTACTTAGAATTTCTCAGCAACTCCTAATGCCTACCAGATAAAATCTAGATTTGTGTGTGTGTGTGTGTGTGTGTGTGAGGGAGTCTCACTCACTCTTTCGCCCAGGCTGGAGTGCAGTGGCATGATCTCAGCTCACTGCAATGTCCGCCTCCCAGGCTCAGGTAATTCTCCTGCCTCAGCCTCCTGAGTAGCTGGGATTACAGCCATGTGTCACCACGCCCAGCTAATATTTGTATTTTTAGTAGAGACGGGTTTTCACCATGTTGGTCAAGCTGGTCTCAAATTCCTGACCTCATGATCTGCCCTCCTCAGCCTCCCAAAGTGCTGGGATTACAGGGATGAGCCACTGTGCCTGGCCTCAAATCTAGATTCTTATTCTGAAGTCTGGGTCCTTCACTGTCCCTAAACTAACTCCCCCACCGTGTCTCCCATTATTTCCTCTGCAATAGTAAAACTGACCTACTTGCTATCCTCTATAGTCCTATCTCCTTCACCTCTGCCTCTTATCCTTCCTGGCATGTCCTCATTCTTTTCTCTGTCTAAATGCTCTCCTAGCCCTGGTTCAAATCACACTTCCTCCATCCATGTTGCCCCTGACCTCCCTAGTTCATGCCTGTTTTGCCCACCTCTGAAATTCTCCAACATCATTGTTCTCTAACTTACCACTTCTATAATGCCACCTTCCTATACATTATCTTCTCATTGGCTGTATTTCAAACTGAGAAAACAGAAATCATGTCCGATGTGTTTTACCTATGCCCTTTCTAAGAATGCATACAACTATTTTGTGATGGAAAGGAGGAAAAATTAGAATCTGAGAACCATGTACTAAGATTTAGGTGCAGACAAAGAAGGTCCAGGAGTAAAGAGAATAGAGATGCTAGCAGTTTCTTTTGTAGAGCATGCGAACTTGTCGATAAAGAAGTAAAAGGAAAAAGGATTGTGAGGTTTTTTTTCTTGCTTCGCTTTTCTCCACCAATATTATCATGAATTCATTTGTATTCCTTTTTTCCCTGACATAAAAATGAAATGTCCTATTCTTGTGCTAACCATTCTTTGTTTGGTTTTCAGGTTCTGTTTGTTCCCAGACACTGGTGGCATTATGTAGAATCCATTGATCCTGTCACTGTCAGTATAAACTCATGGATCGAACTGGTACTTTTTCATTTTTTTTTCGTTTTCTTAAGTAAGTGCAATTCCTGCTTTTAAAAGATACATGAAGTCTGGCTGTACAACTTGGTAATTTTTTTTTTAACCAATGCTTCCGTATTTTTTTTTGTTGTTGCAGTGCACTATAACTTATGTATTCTGTCCTCTGTTAATGGGTGTTTAGGTTGGAAATAGGAATTTTAGTGGTGTGCCACTCTGTTTGTTTTAAGGACACAGAATGGGCCTGATGTTGGCATGCAGGGTCCTCTCCCTTGACCAGTGTCATTAGGAAAATTGTGCTGGGCCTGGACAGATTTGCCAATATGTGTCCCTAGTTGCCACTCTTCTCCCACACCATCTGGGATGAAAACACCTGCTTCTTGGTTCAGGGTCATTACTAATTGCAGAATTCTGTCTTGGCTTCTATATATTCTCAAAGCAGAGTCTTTCAGTGGTAGGTTTTTATCATTTCATTTCTGCCAGAAGCCTTTCCCTCCAATGTGCTGCGCTTAATCCTGGTTGCCTGATCTATTTGTCAATTAAAATAGCTGCTGCATATGCTGAAGTCTCTCTTCAACTGGGGCCTTAATTGCAGCTGTCTCTCTTTAACCAGAGGTCCTGACTGCATCTCTGCTCTCCCTGACCTGAAGCCTGGATTGCATCTCTCTGCTCTGTTTGACAGCCGCATCCTCTCCCTAGTCTAGTTTTTCCTATCCTTTGGTAATAGGAATGGCTTTGGAATCAGTGGAACAGAAGGAATATTGTAACAGAAAGCTATATTGTATGGGCTTAGAGAAGAGGTGTAGCCCTTGAGTCTTAGGCAAGAGGTATGGCAGGAGATCAGTAGCGTCACAGAAATTCTGCCTGTAGCATGCTGAACTGGAGTTGCAGCAGATGTCAAGGTAGAATCTGTGGAGAACTTCCATTCCCAATGCCAAAGTCACACTTAAAATAGCCCTGACAGGCGTTTCATCTCCCAAGGAAGTTCACTTGTTGTTAAAGAGTGGAGCTGTCATATTTTTTAAATATTTAAAGATATCTCCAAGTGTTTCTGTAATCTTTTCTTCTTCTAAGCTCAAAACCATTTACTTTCTGTAATGGGGTGTTTTTATATGACTCTTCTTTTCCCCTCAGACTCTTTACCATTTTGGCCACAGACTTTGGAATCAGGCGGCTTTAAGATAAGCTTTAAGACAGTTACCTTGGTTAGCTGTCTAACATAGACAGTTAATCTCTTCAAGCCTCCATTTTCTTATAAAATGAGGATTATAATTGAACTCACCTCAGTATTGAGGTTGTAAGGTTAAATTGGACAACACATTGTAAAAGCATCTCATATAGTGCATGGCATATGGGAAGAATTTAAAAAGTAGAAATTGCTATGGGGAATATTTAAAAAGAAATAAAAAGTATTTAAAAAGAAATAAAAAGTAGAAATTGCTATGGGAAGTATTTAAAAAGTAGAAATTGCTATTCTCAAAGTGTTTAAAAAGTAGAAAAAAAGTGTTTAAAAAGGAGAGCTATTGCTCTCCCTCCTCCCCATAGCAATTTCTACTTTTTAAACACTTTGAGAATAGTTCTCTTAACATATAGCACCTAAATACTTTAAGAATAGTTCTCTTAATATATAGCACCTAAAACTGAGTATCAGTGGGCCTTATTTGGTAGAGTATAAGATTTCTACCCCCACATGATCTCAATCCTAAATATCTCCAGTTCTGCTTGTAATACTGGATTAGTTTTTTAGTAATCTAATCTCACTTTAGTTTCATATTCAACTCTAAAATATCTGTGCTTTTTTCCACATGATCTGCTGTCAGGCAGGTTGAATCCTATCCTGTACCTATAAAACTGATTTTAATTCTAAATCCAGTATTTCACAGTTTTCCCTATTTTCAACATGTTAATTTGGTTAAACATTCTAGCTTGACAAAATAATTTTAAATTTGGATCTTCTCTGTCCTTTTAGTGAAACTTCTAGCTGGCCTGTGCCCTTTTGACATGTTCCCATTAATTAGACTTTGAATGTATCCTGGCTTTCTGGTACAGGAAGATATCCCATGATACCCTTTTTCCTTTAGTGTCCCAAACTTGAAGTCAGTCGTTTCTCCAGGTGGCGACAGCTCTGTTTGTAGGGAGTGGTATTTAGAAACAGATCTCAGCTTTAAAGCTGTTCATTGCTCCTGGGTTATACTGTTTTCAGGCTCTTCCAGTGACATAGCTAGAATGTGTGAGAGAGAGAGAGAGAGAAAGAGAGAGAGATGATAGACAGATAGATAGATAGATACATAGATACATACATACATAAATATTGATGTATTTCTAATTCATGTATTTAAGAAATATATATAGGCAAGTAATGTGCTGACATCATAACAAACCTTAAGGGAGGCATGTCTCACACATGAGAATGACACCCAGTCATCAGACTTATGAACTATAAAAGGACCTAATTCAAGTTTAACATAATAGAATTTTTTCTTATTTGTTTCTGTATTTTTATCTCTTCTCTTACACTGAAAATCTGGGTCCTTATAAGCAGTAATATACTTATTTGTTTGCTATATCCAGCAATATATTTTTTTAAGGTGTCAGATTCACATTTCCAAAATTCAAATAGTAATATTACTACTAGCCATAAAGCTTGCAAGTAAAAATTAAGATTTCTTTGCAATTCTTTGTATTATTAGACTGTATCTGTCATTAAGAGGATCGATACAAAGTCGTTTATTCAGGAGTCATTGTGAAGGAATTCTTTTCTTTTATGGTTATTTTACTAATTGTATATTTAGTTAAGTTCATTTGTTTCAGTTTGTTTTCAATTTTAGGATTTACTTACTTTTTAACAATTTTGATCTAATTTAATATTTCAAATATATAAAACATTTAACTTGTCAAAACTATATTAAAAGTTATACTCAGGGAAATCTGCCTTTCATCCCTGTTCCATCCACTCCATTTTTCCCAGCCTTTATAGAGATCCATTTTTATTCATTTCTAGTTTATAATTCCAGTGTTTC